TCCCCTCTGGTTTTCCTTTCTCTGCTTCTCTAAAGGACTCCCAGAGCCGGTTGTCTGCCTCCAACAAAGGAGTGAGGTGGTCATTGTTGTCTAGACCAGAGGCTTGAGGGAATGGAACCTTTGGGAAGTCACATAAGGGACATTTACAGGGCTCCTGAAGCCTTTCTACAAAGTTGGCCATGCCTCTGCCTAGGGCTTCTTTGAGGGGGGAAAAAAAAGTCTATGGGACCATGAAGTGGCACAGTTAAATATGGTATTTATTGTGGTGTGGCCGATTCATGCTGTCCAGCTCCCATGGATGTTCTTCCTAGGACACTGGATCCTGGAAGTCCCAGGGCAGTTCATGAATGCGTTTTTTCTGGATGTCTCTTTTGTTTCATCCCATGGGAATTCTAAGGGACCCAGGAGAGCTTGCCCAAGAGGGTAAGCAGACAGCTAGGTTCCAGAGATTAGCTTCAGCTGAGCAGAGGTACAGAACTAAGTAGAGAGCCCAGTGTCAGCATGGAGACATCTGAGACCTGCTGAGGAAGAGAGTGAGGTAGGCCATTCAGTCAGCGCTGAGCATTATGCATAGGGCACACTGGTCTCCGGACTGTGCCTTCCTGCCTCTGTCCCCACGTGTACAGAATTTGTTGAGAATCATGCAGTGTCCAAAGGACAAGCATGCATCCTGTGCAACTGGACACCCTGAGGCTAATAAGGGTGATGACTTGGGAGTCATGAGTCAAGAAGGTGACCTGATTTCCATGCTGGGAACTCCCAAGCCATGTCCTGCCACCTCTCTGAGGCTTCTTGAGAATTCCAGATTCTGTCCTCACTGCCCTCAGAGACTAGCTAATGATTTTCAAGTGGCCTTGGGTTGCCAGGAGGTGGGGGGACGGATGACTCCACCCATTGCCCTTTGAGGTCTAGGGTTACATTTCTCCCTGCTCCGGGTATATATTGTCTTGGCTTGGCCAAGAGCCCTTGACTTCTAGTTCACTGTTGGCCAAGATGTGTTTGCCCAGCCTTCTTGAGCCTTGTCACCCATGATCTCACATTGCTGGTATTAGAGGGACCTCATGGTGCTGCACTGAGGGCTGGAGACCTGTTTGGTATTTGCTGAACATTTTTTATGCTTCTCCTCCTGGCTGGGCCACTCTGGGACTAACAATGTGTAAATCACAGGCTGTGTCCTAACAGTGCCCCAGGGACTCCCCAGCACCGCAGGAAGCAAAGGACACCGGTTCATTAAATGTCTGTTTTCTGATGTTTTGTGTTGTTCAGTTTAAAGCCTACTGCTTGCCGGGAGCAGGGCTTATGATGGCCCTGGCATCATGCATCTAGGTGTGCACGCCGAGGTGGAGCTTCAGACAACTTGCAGTTTCAAGCGTTACTAGAGTCTGCTCCACAGCCTGCCTCTTAGCAACAGGGGGCTTTCACTCCTCTTTTAATTTTCTCTGAATTCCTGGAGCAGACAGGTGGGATAGGAAAAAGGAATGCCAGCCAGGCTGCCAGCTGGTGGTATGACCTGGGGGCCCACTTCTGTAGGAAACTTTAACTGGGAGGAGATCTTGCCCTCCTCTAATCCCTGCAGCTGGCTGAGTGAGCAGAAGTCATTAGACTTGGTGTCAAGAGTGTGTAGATGTGAATGTGTCTAATGGCCATTTTCTGGATGCCTGTTTCATACCAGGAACCACTAAATTCAACCAATCCCAGGCAGGTTTGATTTTGCAACCAGGGGACATTTGGCAGTGTCAGCCACAGCTTGAGGGTGTGGTTGGCCAGGGCCAGGAATATTTCTGGACATCATAGGATGCTCAAAAGTCTGAATGTCATAGTGCTAAAACACACTGATAAGTCAGGTTTTTTTTTTAAATTTTTTATTCTTTTTTTTTTTTAATTTTTTAATGCTCCTGAGAGAGTCAGGCCCTGTAGGGATAGATGTGCCACCTGGGAGCCTGAGAGCCACACACAGGCCTTGAGACAGAGGTCCTCGGAGCAGTCATGGCTTCATCCTCAGACCCCTCACATGGTACATTCTCCTCAACAAGGCAGTTGTTATTGTTTCTGATCCTGTATGGGCCACTTAATAACATCCTTTAGGAAGAAACCAAGACTATCATGGACCTTGTGCAGTGCCCCTGGCATTCCTGCTTCTGGCTAAGGGAAGCTTTGGAGGTGCAAAGCAGAATGGATGGGGTTGGGGAGGAAGACAAGGGCCCACAGAATGGCCATACCTTTAGCTGTAACCCTGGCTATTTCCAAGATAACCTACTTTTGCTTTTATTTATTTATTTTTTGTTTTGTTTTGTTTTGTTTTTTTCAAGACAGCGTTTCTCTGTGTCCTTATTGGATATTCTAGACTCACTTTGTAGACCAGGCTGGCCTCGAACTCATAGAGATCCACCCACCTCTGCCTCCCTGAGTGCTGGGATTACAGGCGTGCACCACCGCGCCTGACTCGACTTTTGCTTTTTATCTGTTTTTCTATGCGGACTGTCCCAATAAGACTATCTTTGCACAGAAGCAGATGGAAGGTGCTTTTGCTGGGTTGCCAAAGCCGACTAGGGACTGGCCCCTATGGGTCCTGTCAGGAGAGTGTATGTAGAAGGACGATGCTCTGGGGCCCAGCAGCTGGTGAATACACAGTGGTAGCCCACTATAGCCCAGTCCCTGAAGTCTTGGTTACTGCATTTTTGTTTACTGAGAACAGTGACCAGGACAGAACAGGTGTTTCCACCCTCAGAACACTCTGTCCCCAAGCACACCCCACATTCTGCTGGGAGATGTGGTCTCTCCCCACCAGCTTCTGAGTCATCACTGAGATAAGGATGTCTCAGCTCCCACACTATTATCATAGTGGGTCAGGTGGTCTTTGCTGTGGGGCTGTCCTGTGCATTGTGGGGTCTTTAGTGGTGTCCTTGGCCTCTACTCAACAAGATGCACTCAAGGGGCATTTCATTCATAACAGTCAAAAAGGGCTTGACATACTGCAAAAGGGGCTCTAGGAAACAGATCATGACTAGTTGAGATGGCACCCAGTGTCCTTCAGGTTTGGTCTTTCAGCTTTAGGCCTTTTGCTGGCTGAAGGCCTGTCAGAAGAGGGCTTCTGACTCCAAAGAGCAGATTGGCAAGTGCTTGAGGCGTCAGGAGGCTGTACTATCTTTCAGCTCTTCTCATCCTGTGCTTTGGGCGAGAGGGTATAAGGTGGAAAGTTCAGTGAAGGAACTAGAGGCTACCGTTGATATCCTTTAGCGTGTGAAAGAGGATGGATGCGGTGGAGGCTGGCATTGCACTGCAGTGGGGTGATGGTTTCTAGAATCTGAGGAAAACTCACCAAACTGAGCTAGTGTGTTAATGTATCTTGGTAAGTGCAGACGACTTTTGTAGGGCACTTTGCAAGCAAAGGGAATTGAAGTAACTGCTAGAGGTAGAAAAGTAGAGGCATGAGGCAGGCTACTACCAAAGGGGAGGGCTCACAAGCCAGGGCTGAAGAGGCCCTGTGGGAACCTACCCAGAGGGGAAGTTGAAGGCTCTCGGCCGAGTGGAGTGTGTTCAGGGTCTCTGTGAAATGTAAAGTCTTCCATTCTCAGCATGAGAGGTGGTGTTGACAGAGCTCGGGGCTTCTGGAAGGTCTCTGAAGGCTGTGTAGGCGAGCTATCCCACGGCTAAGGTCTTGGGACTATGAACATGCTGAATTAGCAAGACTACAAGAGCATAGCTTTTCAGGCCTGCTGCCTCCGAGATGGCAGCGGCCCAGGAATGTTCACAGATATAAAACTGACTTTGTTTTTGAAATGTTCTCGATCCTGGACTCCAAAGGCTGCATAAAGACACTCTTGTGAGGTGGTTATCTACTGGGGAGAGTCACGCTGGGGCCCCGGACCAGCACACCCCATCTACCCACGGCATGCCATGTGCTGGCATGGGTATGAATCACAGCAGCCTGCTCTCACAGGTTGACCTGTAGATAAGGGTCACAGGGCTCCTGTGGGCTCAGGCAATTGGTTCTTGGGGCGTTTTGAAATTTTAGTTCCCTTTGCTGCCTTATCTATAGGGCCTTGAGCAGCTGGGGTTCTAACTCATACTTTGCCTGGTATCAGTCGCCAGAGCCTATATCCTGGGCCCGTGTCTTGGTGTTCTCCACTCACTCAGGCCTCTGTATGCTACCTGTGACACTCTTGTTTCGTTCTTTGGCAGTCCCTAAGCCTCATCCTGCTATCCGTTACTTTTACTACTTGACTGTGAATCCAGAAGATTGTGTGTTTATCTCCCAGACCTGTAGATAACACCTCTCCTATCTCCAAAAGTCCTTTAGGACAGAGTTCCCAGCAATTCTGAGCTCTGCACCTGTCCATTTCCACAGCCCTCGTTTCTTGGCCTTGTGAGGGTATGTGCTCCACTGCCAGCCATGGAGATTCCTGTTGCCACCCTTTCTTCCCCTTTTGGGGTCTGGCTTACAAAGGGCCATTCACTTTAGAGTCTTCTTTTTCATATCCTACTGAGTGCTCAGCGCCTGTCAGGCCTTTGGCCCAGGTTTGTCCCTGTCTCCTGTTCCCTCCACTGGGGTCAGGCAGCCTGGAGTCCTGCTCAGCGGTGCATAGAGCAACTGTGTGTGGTGACACCCAGGGGTCTTTTGGTCCCTTTGATTGTTAATCTGGAGCTCTCTGGCTTTGGAATCAGCAGCGGAGTCCTCTAGAATGTATCTAGAAACATCAGGGTGTGCTTAGTGAGTCTGAACTAGATGTGGCACCTGCTTTTGGTTCTCCAGCCATCAGCTTTGTAGTAGTTGTGATTATGAACCTGGTCCTCTTTCAGATATCTACTACCCGCTTCCACTAGGAAGCCTGGAAATGGCTAAGGGGATGAAGGCCTCGTTGTAGCCCACAGATGGATGTGGGTGGGAAGAGCTGGGAGGCAGTGGGGAAGCCTGGCCTTCCTATCTATTCCATTCATAGCTTCCAAGAAAGCTATCTCACTGGGAAGTGCTAACCTTCTGGCCTTTTTTCCCTTGGTAGGTCTGTGAAAGCAGAGAAATGTCCCGAGAGCTACAGGACGTGGACCTCGCCGAGGTGAAGCCTCTGGTAGAAAAAGGAGAGGTGAGTGGAGCTGCTTCAGGCTACCCCAGTACATGCTCACAGTGGGCACACATACATTTGTAGGTACATGGCATGCATAATCCAGGGTATGAACACACATTCATTTGTACACAGTATACACACATGTGAACAAGAACGTACCATATAAGCAAGTGTATGGAACACCCCCCCCCCTCACACACACACACAGCACAGGTATTGGTCCCTTGGTTTCTGTCTGCATTTGCTGACTCTAGATGCTTTTGTCTATCACCCAGTCACTACCCCTGCCTCAGGGAACCGATTATGATTGGTTTACAGTGTTCCAGCCACTGTGGTCCTCTGTACCCTACTTTGTTTTCCTGGCCTCTCCGGCATTTGGCACCGCTGAGCCATGTTCTGTGCTGGAGGCTCGTGGCTCTGGCTGGTGCCTGGCTTTCTATTGGATTCAGTCTCTGAGTTGGGCAGAAAACAGGCCAGTAGCAATCCTTAACATATGCTGGCTAGACCAGTGAGGCTTCAAGGTCCTCCCAGAACTACACTGCCCTGAGCTTCTGTGGAGTCAAGACCTTCTCCTAGCTTTCTGGATCTTTTTTGTTAAAGATGAAAACTGAAATTCATTGTGTATAGACTGAGGAAAAGGCTTCAAGGTTTCCATTAACCCTCTTGTCTCCACAAAAGACTGGGTTTTAATTCAGAAATCAGATATTGGCAGCCATGAGGAGATTGCAAGAGCAGAGGAGACATGGTTCTGTTTGGGTTTCAGGAGTACTGCACACGGGTGCACTTACGGCCTACATAGCCACCTGCAGTGCGCCATTTCTCAAGCTTATGCTCTGCTTCAGATTTTTTTTTTTTTTTTTGTCAAGTGTCCTCAGAAAAGAATCTAGAAGATGGGCCAGTTTTCTACTGGGCTGCAGATAAAACCAACATTCTCTCTTTGCAAGAACTAAGGGAAGCCCACTGAGCAGAGTTTAGATTCAAGCAATGGAGAGGAGCATGTGTATTGAGCTTTATCTCTAACCAAGGAAACTAACCATGTAGCCATGGCTCTCTCTTCTCTCCACAGACCATCACTGGCCTCTTGCAAGAATTCGACGTTCAGGCAAGTAGAGGATGTAGTCTCCTTTTTTTATCCACTGGTCCACCGATTCCCTTCCTTCCCTTTTTCCATTGGCATGAAATAGATTGCTGTTTAAATGTGGAGTCAGCAGAGAACAGGAAATGGGCGCAGCCTATACCCACACTTTGCAGCTTTCCCTGGAAGAAGCTGTCCAAGTTCCAACCAGGGAGGCAGGAACTAACCAGCCCCCAGGAAGGTAGACAGACATATTGCCATGTGACTTTGGAGATCTGGGGTGTATATGGGAAATGACAGATGTCCAGTGGACTTGGGACCCAGTGATGTGGACACTTACTAATCTTGGCTTCATTAGGAAATAGGAAGCTAGGAAGCCGGGGTTCTTGGCCCAAGGTTGGAGGATCTAGCCCACTCAGAGCCAGCTGGAGGGCCAGTCAGGGTATATCCAGCTTTGTCTGAGAGGCAGCTAGAGAGAGTAGAGAAACCCTGGTCTCTCCAATGTCCCGTGCCATCGTTCCCAAGCATGAGTACCCTGAAGGGTGGGATAGACGCATGCAGGGTTGCCTGCAGGCATGTTCACCTAGACCTCCATCAGTTCCCGCCCACACACCTTGCCTTCTGCCTGCTCTCTGCAGGTATAGGAAACCACCCTGTAACATTTTCCAGGGTCTCCCGCTTTAATGTACACTCATCCTTCCACACAGAGGTGGGGTTCTGGCCCTAGGAGGAAAAGAAAAAATTAGAATAAGGGTTGGATGCTTGTTTAGTTCCATCACAGCTCTGAAGGTATAAAGTGGGCCTTTGAGGGTCTTTCACCAATCTGATTGCAGGCTACTTTTCCTTTGGGGCTCCAGAGACTCTCTTGGCGTCCACTGAGATAGGTAGCAACTTCAAAGTGCAGAGATATCCCTCTGAACCCCAGGAACCCTGTAAAGCAGGAGATTTGTCTTTATCTGCAAAGCAGAGGTAGATGGTCTAGCCTACACTTGTACAGCCAGCAGGAGACCCTGCGGGTTTTACCCATACAAGTATATGCTCATCTTGGCCTTTGAGAGGGAGCCCCGAGCCAAGGGAGAGTGAGCATGTGAAGGCTATTTAGAGATGACACTTGTTTCCAGCCTGGAGCCCACCAGATATGGAAGACAAACACGTAGATAGGCCTGCTGGCCCCATGTGCAGAAGCAGGAGAGTGACCACAAATGAGGTGGGGCAGCAACTTGTGTGGAGAGGATTTAGACAAGGGGTTTAGAGTCTCAGAGGCCCACTGAGGACTGCTTGTCACTTCATTCCTGCTGCTGACTGAGTACATGTGTTCTGTTTGAGTCCCTGTGACCCGGTCCATTGCCTATCATGAGGTTGTGAATGTAGGGGAATCATCTCATTAGCTGTGCCCAGCATCCAGAAGACAGAGCTTAGTCTCCAAGGAGAGCGGGGCTCATGTTGCCCCCAGTTCCACCCACATTCTTGTTAAGAAGGGGAGAGACAGCTCTGGCGAGTGACTTGCCAGAGGCCACCCTGTGGTTGCTCTAGGAGGCAGTGTCACAGCCTGCGCCTTCCTGTCTCAGACCCACAGATGTCTGGGTGGTATTGATAAAGTCACTGCCTATTTCTGTATGCACGGTGCTCTACCAAGGGATCCCCAGCCAGTCAATAATTGGTAGAAGCACCATGTCAATGTAGCTCAGATGGAGAGTCCGAGGTTGAGATGGTAGAACTGGGTGTCACACCAGGTGCAGGTTTGGCTCTGCTGGAGTAAACGCACATTTTTGGCTCGCTGTTTCCAGGTTCTGAGCCTGTGTGTTTGGTCTCCTTGCTTCCTGTGCAATGACTAGAGCTCCACACCGACCATCTCACTCTTTAGGACTCAGGAATGTGGGGGTACTGTGGTGGTCTGGGAGTCAATGGATGTCCCGAGGACTTTGGTTTATCTTTGGGTTCAGCCCTGCTCTGTCCTGCTGGAGACAGAGCAGGCAGAGCACACATTGTACGTCAGTGGTGGCTAAGACCGTGACACCTGATCTTGCTTCTAATAACTGGGTCCTCTTGTCTCTTGGGGGCTCACCTGTGCAGTCAGGGCTGAGCCCACAAGCCTCTCCCTGATTAGGGCCTGGTGACTTGCTTTCTTTGCTCTCTAGGCCTTCCTGCTCAATGCACAATTGGTATAATAATGATCTGTTCTCAGAGTTAAGGCTGAGTGTGGACCCAGAAAGTGGGGTGCGAATACCAGATGCCCCTTTCTGGTTATCGACCCAGTCTCTCCAGCCTCGGTTTCTTCCTTTGTTTAAGTGACTTTGTGTTTTAGAGAGGGTAATGTTGGTGCCATAAAACATCAGTGCTGGGAAACAGAACACCGCCCATCAAAAAACTCCATTGTGGGTTTCTTCCGATTTTCATCATGGTAAAATACATAAAATAGTTGACATATTTACCACTTTTAGGGTGTGCAGTTTATTGGCAATAAATGCATAGATTTTAACAGTTCATGTTCCCCCTCTCCCAGGCCCTTCCACCACCATTTTACCTTCGCTGAATGAGTCTGTTGTTTCCAAGGACCTTGTGTAAATGGGGCCACAAAGCAGCTGCATTTTAGTGAATGGCTAATTTCATATAGCATTATAATCTCCAATCGTGTTGTGGAAAAATGATGCTTCTTGTCTGTCATGAGATCCATGGCAAGCCAGGCATGTGCTCTGGGATTTCTCTGTCCACTTGTTGAGTCTTCAGGGACCTGTGCTATCATTTCATTGTCCCTGCTAATGGATGATGAGATCATGTCAACATTTGTAAGGTGGGCCCATGGGTCCAAGCCTTGCTGGAACTCTGCCCTGCAGACATTTCCTGTAGTTTCTGACCTGGGGACTCCTGTCCTTAAGACTTCACACTGACTATGGCTTACCTCTGCCGTACCTCTTTGGTCCGTCTGGCCAACCACATGCTTTGTACTACTCCATTGATCTTATTAGGTTTTTGGAGAGGGGAGGAAGTGTTATGAGGCCTAGAATGTCTGTGCCTTCTTGGCAACCACTCAGTATCTTCATCTACTTCCTATTACTCCCATCTCATGGGAGCTGGCTTAGAGAACCTAGCTGTCTAGCCATGCCCATCTGAAGGCAATCTGGGCTGCTACATGAGAACAGCCCCTACTTTGGCATTTTCAATGAACCTATCTGACTCTCCCTTTCCCCATGGTCTTAAAATTTTTACACATCTTTCCAATGTGTAGATATATATGCTCCAATGCTCAGAGCTAACCAGATAGAACTTTGCCACAAGGCAGAAGGATAACTCCAATATAGAGATAGTTTGACTGCCCGAGCAAGTGGTATGAGTTTTATCTCTCCTGCCTATGTCACCTTGGGATATCTCCTTGTTTCAGCTGGACACTGTTCCAGCTCATATCAATCCATGTCCCTTTGCTAAAGGGCCTCTGGATCCCTTAGTGTGCCAGCCAGTGGCTGCTAGTCTGGAATGCTTCAGGAAGGAAAGAAGATCAGTTTGTTCTGGTCCTGCTGGGGCAGCTGTCCTCAGAGGGTGCTAGCTCTGCCTGTAAGTTTGATGAATGGGGGTCGTGGGAGTATTTGGGATTTGAGCTTATTTCCTTTGACTAGGGTTCTGGAATTCAGGATGATCAAAACTGGCAGATGCCTTTGAGATGATCCAGCCCTGACTTTTGCTCCATTTGTCTAGGCCACTGGATGCCCATCTGTCCCAGGGCCTCCTGACTAGGTCACACACAGTGTCAGCTATCTTTGCAGAGAGATCTGTTTGAAGATGCCCATGGAGTACTATTGGTAAAGCCCTACGTTTAGGTTCAGTTGACCCCTGGAAGCATAGTAATCCAGGAAGTTGTAAAGTCGAAAGGGCTGACATCTGAGCACAGAGAGTCTTCTGGAAACTGCTCTGTACTCTCCCCAAATGTCCATATGTGAGTCTCATGCCAGCCTGATAAGGCCAATGCCCTTGCCCTCCTTGTTTTAACATCTAAGATACAGCTCTCAGGAAGTCACATGATGATGAGATGGGTATTGAAGCTGACTTAGCTCCTACATCCAGAGCCCTAGTCTCCTCTGAAGGTAGTTTTTGGAGGGGCTCAGGTCTACTCCTGACTTCTGGCTCCAGGCCGGTTGGCTTGCTTTTGCAGCAGTCTTCAGTGTTTAAGGCAGTGATTCTCAACTTATTCCTAATGCTTTGATCCTTTAGTACAGTTTCTCATGTTGTGGTGACCCCAATCATAAGATTATTTTGCTGCTACTTTATAACTATAATTTTGCTACTTTTATGAGTCATAATGTGAATGTCTAATGTGCAACACCAGAGGGGTTGTGGCCCACAGGTTGAGAACTACTGTTCTACCTCAGCCCTGTTTGTTTAAATTGCTTCCTCTGATTTGGTTTCCATGGGAATATGTTAGTGCACACAGAGCACTATGGAAAATGAGCAGATGTTCCCTTTAGGGCCTCCTGGAGGGTAGAGGGCCAGACAGTGTTGGCCTCCGTAACTCCCCAGCTCGGTTCCTGTCTCACTGGAGTAAGCTAAGCTGGAGGCTGTTTCTTTGCCCTTCTGTTGCAAGTCCATCTGCTCCTGGGAAATGCAAACAAGCAGGAATCTGGGACTAAGTTTTTTCTCTACACCTTTGTTCCTTTTTTTCATTCCTTCATTTCATTCATTCTAGAGGGGGCAGAGCTCTCACAGTTGGTTATGAGTTCTTACGCCCCCATTTCCTGTCCTTTCCTTTTCCTGGTCCCACTTTTCCAGTAAGCTTCTGAGCTTCAGAAACTCCATTGGCAGATGGCAGGGATGCACATCTGGGTGAATGTGGCATGCCAGCTGCCTGCTCTACGTGTTTCCTAGCAACATTCCCTGGAACAGTCAAGGAAAGCCATGTAGGCTGAGGCTTGGAGCTCATGTCTGTCCCAGGCCAGGATCTGTTAGGCTTAGCCAGGTAGACCTTTATCTAGCAACAGGAAGTGTCATGGACTGAAGTCCTTAGTTGCCTGCTTCTCTTCCCCAAGGCTTAGTTCCAA